TATACTATACTATACTATACTATACTATACTATACTATACTATACTAATAGTACTAATACTACCAGGTATTAAAGAACAGCTGAAGCAATGTGTTTATCCATAGATGTCAAATACAATGCAATCGTATACCAAGCTCCCAACAGCACCCGGTGTGGGCAACTTTAACACATTTAGATGCGTTAAGGTTGTGTGTAAAGTATGTAAAGCGTTCAATGCATTTTTTATATTGCAGCCCACACAGTTCAGCTCTGAGGGCACTTATAGCGTTGCTTGTTTCAGAGTCTGGATGTCTGCAGGAGGAAAAATGACCTCTTTGTGGGGAGCAGCTTGTCTCTGACAAAGCTCTGCAACGAGTGTGTTCCACGACGTAAAGCTGTCATTTTTCTCTCCCGCACCACCTTCACAGGTTCAAGAAGGCATCCTGAGACAGAGACGGGCTGTCTGATCAGATGCCCCTGCCTCCCTCCGTCAGGAGCTGCTCGTCCAGCAGACCGCGCCACGGGAATAACACGGCTCACGGAAATATGAAGGGGTTGAACATCTATATTCAGAGCCAGGGCTGTGATGAAGAAATGTTCTGCATTTACTGCAGATCTTAGTGGCTTACCGGCCGTTCAATTTCAGAGCCTTTAGTTGTTAGAAACAGACATACGTGCTCTCAAGCCCTGCAAAAAAACGTTTTCCCCACAATATTTCCCCTTAAAATTAATATGAAACTCACTGTTTTCACAACGTAGGATGTTAGAGGTCACCTTAAAAACGCAGCACGTTCAATTTTGGTCAGATTTTTCTGTTTGTCTCAGTCACACGTGCTCCCAATAAAGTTTTTGGCTATGGAAAACAAGCTGTTTTTTCTTGCAAAGTTGAAAACGTTGCAAAGCAACATAAAATGAATCAGTTTGCATATCATTCCACATTTGATTCACACAAAAACAAGAAAGCATGACAATGGATGAAATATATGTTAAAAGATGAGAATGGTCAGACATTTTGTTCGGTTTCTTACCTCTTCTACAGTTAATCTTTTTTGCTTTTATCATTGGCACTAATTCATTTGTTTTATTTGTGGTGTCATCTTCAAATTCTTTTTATGCATTTGACTGTAAAGCACTTGTGATTTTTATCTGTGAGGGTGCACACAAGTTTATTTAGTTTTTTTTCCACTCCATTCAATTTCTCCTTTCTGTGTGTATGTGGTCAGTATGGACCTGGTTTTTGTTTACCTCCATATCTGTTGATGTATTGTATAATATATTGTATTATTGTATTATTATTGTATTCATTGACAGTGAAATATATAATAACTGTTAAATATGTGGCAAATTTCTTCAGATCTGGTATCTTAGAACATAGGTCCGGGTCTGTTTTCTCATTTGATCTCTAGATGGCAATAATAAGCTATTCGAAGTCTTAGGAGCCTGCAATTCACTCTGTGAAAAAGAAGCAAATTTGCAGTCAAAGTTTGTTTAATTATTTCACGTCGCAGTTTTCATTATTATTATTACGGGTCGGGAGACGTGTTAGGAAATTCTATTAAAATGTATGAGCAAACAACAGAAAAGTAATTACAGTATGAGAGCGCTATCGCCTTCCATCTACTACGCCTGCGCACTCGGAACAGAATATTGAGCCGCCCTTCCTCCGCGCCAACTTGCACCGCAGGGTCGAGCAGACGTCGACTCATAACAGCCCCGAGTTGTCTTCCGTATTTAGTTGAATACTCTCCAACACAATTATGGAGAGTCCGCATCATATTAAAAATGGTAAGCCAAAGAGAATTTTAACAACTGCCTTTTCCGAACAGTTATTGTGGTTTCTTTCGGAGCGTGTGCGCCCGATTTTGAACATGGCGTACCCCGATCTGAGATGGCGGTGGCTTTGTGCGACGTTGCACCGCCAGAGAGTTGATGTGTTGGTTCTTTAAAAAAAAAAAAAAAAGGTCTTTGAAAATAGTCTGCATAGTGAACTATACCAAGTTAATTTATGTCATATGTAATGAGCACCAAAATGTTACTAATTAAGGTTAGCATAAATAACGTAAGGTTGTCAACACTTACTGCAACGGCTAACGGATGTTGCCTTTGAGGGTGCAACTAAAGCTGTAGTTAGCATAAATAGCTAAAAATATCGAAGGTCTGAAAACCTAACAAGCATTGAAACAGCCTCGTCCCATTTTGCGATGATGCATGCTGTCGAAAGACATTGGAACCCACGTCAAATAGCTAAAACTGTTTTAGTGAAGCTACTACAGTTTTTACTCGACAAGTAACGACGACCGGACCCGTATTTATCGCACTGTTGTGGTAGTCAGGTCCCGCGGTTGGTTATTACGATACAGCTGTCGGATCCTTGAACGCACCAAGGAATAGTTTCGTGTAACTTCTGTGCAGGTCCAATTATGACAAGCTGAACGATAGCGGTTTTACTTAGAAATTGTCAGTCTTATTCGGAAATGAGAAACAATGTTTGCGGAATTGAAAAGTAAAATTGTAAAAATGCATTTTATATACCATTTATGGATGCATGGATAATGAGACAGTTAAGTGTACATGAATTAAGTCCTTTGGTGCTTCACATTGTTTAATTGTTAAACTGTTAAGTACTTTAAAATGCAGTACTTTTGTGCTTCTTCCAGAAAGGGAACTATCTGTTTTACCTGTACTACTTTCTACTTATTAGTCAGTGTGTTAACTGATTATAGAGCATTAGAAAATGAAATAATTCTCCTGACTGATATATTTAAAACACATGAACTGTTTAATAGACAGCTACCGGCTTAATGTCAAGACGCATTTCCAGATGAGCAGCCTTGCCCAGTGAAATACCAGGTTTTAAGTGATGTAAATACCCTGCAGATCCACCTCTCTTGCTGCCGTCTCTTCGTCTGTTCGTACCTCCCCTGCGCCTGGTGTCTGCAGCCATGTGGCACGTGGTGCAGAAGGGGACGGTGCAGGACTACGGGATGGTGGAGGAATTCATCAGCACCGTCACGGAAATCGTGCCTGATCTCCTGAACGCGGACCAAAAAGCCCAGCTGCTCCTGGGACTGAGAGCACGGGTAACCAAACACATTCATGATTGTAGGAAGAAGTTCCCCTTATGGCTTGCAGAGTCATAAACTTAAGAAAAACATCTCTTGCAGGTTGTTCTAGAATTGTGTCGCTCTGAGCAGAGCGCAGACAGAGAATCCATCGAGATGCACTTGGACCGGATCAAATCCCTCGTGTCCACGTGGGCAGCTCAGGTTGGCTTTTTATAAAGATGATATGTGGTGTTGGTTCCTCATCAAATGGTTGTTTGTTCTTTCTGCTGAAGCTACAGCTGTGCGCTATGTCTTTCAGCCATGTTTTGCAGATGTGGAGTTTCCAGAGTCCAACTTTGTGGATCAGATAGAATTGTTGTTAAAGGAACCTGAAGAGAAGGAGAAGTTCTTCCAGGTTTTTGGCTTTACTTTCTGTGTCGTGGAATTTTTCATTTATTTTTTATTTATATTTTAATAAAATAAGTATCTTGCAGTTTTTGTCCGATACGCCCACATTATAGTTTAAACCTTCATTATGTTCCTCCAGGATGTCTTCCCTACCGACTTTGGGCCTGAATATGACAACGCTCTTCAAGTGCTAATGCTGGATTTTCTTTCCAAGCTGGAGAAGCTTCTCCCAGTGCCAGACATCCAGCAGGTACCAGAGCACACTAACATTTCTTAACTCCAAATGTTAAGATATGGAATTTTTTCCTCTACTTTGACATCACATTTTTAACAGTTTCTCATGATATTATGGACATTTATTTTCCATATGGAAGGCTCCAGTGGACCCAAATGGTTTAATTAATGATAACAAAAAAAGTGAATGAATACTAAACAATAGATGTAATAGAAGGCTGTTTCCTCACCTATTTTGCATGGTGTCTTGTTAAGTGTATTGAAAGAAATGTTGAAGTTGAAGAATGTTTTAAAGCATTTCTAAGTTTTTGATGGTAACAAATAACATCAGTTTCTAAAATACTTGGTATCTCTAATTTCAGTCAGCAGCAGATGGTTTTTAAGAGGAACATGAAGGGGAATAGCTGAATTGATTATGGAGTTATGGTGACCTGCCATATCATTTGAAATGTTGTAAAACTTGATACTAAAATGTCCATTTGGTGGGAAATAAGGTGAAGACAATGCAATGATAGTGGTGTAATCACATGAAATAAAGAGAAAGATACATGTAAATAAAAAAATTAGCAACATGTGTCAAGAATTAATACATTTTTCTGTCTACTTTAAGACTGCATCAATGCTCAGCGCCGTCCCATCAGCCCTGGAGGAGTGTGCGCACTCTGTTCCCGACCCACAGCACCTGAAAACTGTGCTGCAGTACCACACATCACTCGGACATTTTGATTTTTCTGGTGAGACTCCTCTTCATGTACATCTGTCTTCATTTGTTGCGACTCATCAAAACGGTAATGTTCGGAAAGTGAATTTGACATGATCATGGGAAAAAGAAGAACTTAAGTCAACTTACTATTTTGTATGTTTAAGCGTGAGGAATTTTTAAAGTCGTATTCCTTGGCTCAAGAGTATCAAAGCATCTTTTTGTTCAACAACTGTGGAAGATTTGGCCCAAAATTATTATGAATTAACCTTGAAGTAAAGTTGATTCTTTACTCTGCCATAGATGAAACTCAGACCATTCCATCGTCCTTCGGGAACTGCATCCTCTCCTCGTTGTCCCTTCCACAGCTGGAGAAGGTCTTGATCCATCAAGAGCAGATACGGCTGCAGCCGACACCTGAGCAGATGGAAGGCTGTGTGACCGTGCAGGTGGAAGGGGAAACGGTGACACTGCTGGACTACATCCAGATAGAGCAGCCACCTGGCCTGACTGAGCCCGACGAACACGAAGACAATAACCTAGACGAGGAGCAAAACGAAGCAGAAGCAGCAGGGGAGGGTTTGGGCGACGCCTTAAAGCCGGCAGCTTTTCAGCCTCTGAAGCAAAGCAAACGACTCCAGCTGAAGAGGAAAGCTTTAAAAGAATCGCGGGACTCTGCTGCTGCAAAGAGGCAGCGCAAGAAATATCCCAACAATAAAACCTGCCCCGTGTGCAATAAGACATTCCTGCGAGCTGCAGCCATGAGGCGGCACCAGGAAATCCACGATTCCAACCGAGACCTCAAGTACAAGTGCGACAACTGCGACAAAAGATTCAGGGACCATTACGACATGAACCGGCATGCCATGCGTGTCCACGAAAAGGGCGAGGGGAGCCTCAAGGACGAGGACCCAGGAGGTCCCGATGTGTCCGAGATTTTTGAAAATAAAAACTGCTACCTCTGTGGAAAGTATTTTGCCCGGCAGGTTGACATGGATCGACACATGAAGTCCCACTCGGAGGACCGCCCGTACAAGTGCTCCTTCTGTGAGAAGAAATTCAAAAACCCTTACGTCTTAAGGCGGCACGAGAAGGAGATCTGCAAGAGCCGGGAGCATAAAAATCCTAAAAGGAGAGAAGTGCCTCGCTTAAATCTGCAGCCACCTCCGGAGGTGTCGGTGGAGGGTAAGATCTGTCCCATCTGCAGCCGGGTGCTTCCGTGCACCGCTGACATCGCAAAGCATTTGCGATCTCACTCTGAAGAGCGTCCCTTCATTTGCGTCACGTGTGAGAAAGGCTTTAAGTACAAGGACACGTTGAAGAAGCATCAGATCATCCACGGCCATGAGGGCATCAGGGAGGAACAGACCAAGACGCTAGAGCAGATTCTGGCCGAAGCTGACCCTCAGAACTGTGACAGCGAGGTGGTGGACACAAAGGAAAGTCAGCTAGAATCGCCTCCTGGCACTTCTGAGGAAAGCCCCCCCGCACCTGCCCAAAGCATCTCAAAGAAAGCCCTCAAAGTGTGTCCCGTTTGCTCCAAAGCGTTTGATTGCATCAAAACGCTGAACAGACACATCCAGTGCCACACAGACGATCGGCCATACCACTGCATCCACTGCAACAAGCATTTCAAGCACATGCACGGCCTGAAGAGACACCAGATTTACGCCATTTGTCACAAGAAGAGCACCCGCTTCTTTTGGAGAAAAGAGTCCCGGGCGGGGCCGAGCCAAAGCGAAGCCGGCAGCAACGAGTACCAGCAGGGGGCGTCGCCCAGGATCCCGGTGTGGTGCTCCAACTGCGGCAAACACTTCGAGTACCCAGCCGCCCTCAAAGAGCACCAGGAGAACGTATGTAAGGTGGATTTAAGGGACGGGATGAAGTGCGACGACTGCGGCAAGGAATTCAAAAGCATGACGATGCTCAAAGTGCACCAGAGGATCCACGACCCGCTCTACTGCAAAGAGTGCGGGAAGATCCTGGCGAACGAGGCCGCTTTCGAGCGGCACAAGCTGATGCACCGGCCCATGCAGTGCACCATGTGCGACAAGTCCTTCACCTTGTTGAGGCGCCTGAGGGAGCACTACGAGAAGCAGCACAGCTTCACCGGGCCCTTTCCCTGCTCGCAGTGCGACAAAACCTTCGTTCAGCTGTCCTACCTCGCCATCCACCAGCGGATCCACAAGGGGGAGTTTCCGTACATGTGCAACATGTGCCCGGAGAAGTTCAGGTCCTCCAACTGCCTGACGGTGCACCTGCGCAAACACACGGGGGAGAAGCCCTTCCTCTGCTGGCAGTGCGGCAAGTGCTACCGCTCGGCCTCGGAGCTCACCGTCCACATGGGGACGCACTCGGAGGAGCGCCCCTGGGCCTGCACCCACTGCGACATGGCCTACCGCACCAAGCTGCAGCTCACCAACCACGTGGAGCAAATCCACATCGGGGTCCGGTACCCCTGCAACACCTGCGGGAAGCAGTTCATGAAGGAGACCTCGCTGAAGAGGCACGAGCTCATCCACACGGGCGAGAGGCCGCATCAGTGCACGGTGTGCGGCAAGACCTTCCTAACCGCCAACGAGCTCCGGCTGCACAACCGCTACCACACCGGCGAGCGGCCGTACAAATGCGAAGTGTGCAGCAAAGCCTTCATCCAGTCGGGCTACCTGAAGTCGCACATGCGCATCCACACGGGAGAGAAGCCCTTCAAATGCGACATCTGCGACAAAGGCTTCAGGCTGTCGTACCACATGAAAAAGCACCGGCGGACTCATGCCGGCAAGCCAAAGAGCTACACGTGCGAGGAGTGCGGTGTGGTGTTCCTGCAGAAGAAAGCTCTGTGGGAGCACTCGCTAACGCACAACGTCAAAATCGAATCGACTTTCACAAACGCCGTCGAGATCGAGTTTCAGTAGAACGCCTTCAGCATAGCCTGGACACACCTGCTCCAGAGGAGTTTATGTTCCGATTTTTGATTAAATGGTCCCTGAAATACCCCGGACTTTCATCCATTGTTTTCCTAAAAACAGTAATCAAATGTCTGACACCAAAGAGGCTCTGCAGCCACAGTGAATCAAACAGCATCTGTTCACAATGGGAACCACTATATATTATTTTTCATTTAATCTGGAATGGACGAGCTGAGATTGGTCCTTCAGTAGGGTTTGATTGGATTTAACTGAAGGCCATTTATATGTTCAATAAAATTCAAAAAGAAGAAAGATTAAAATTTGTGTTTGGTGTTGCATGATGGACATTTATCACATTATGGGGCTTTGTGTGCAACTCCACACATACAGAAGACACATTAACTTATTCATTTTGAAAACATTTCTGATGGTAGCCCTTGCTTGTCCCATTATTATCAAAACTGGGGGAAAAAAGCCTCATTCAAAAAATGTAAAAAGGTTGTACTGCATTCTTACTTCCTTTTATCCCAGATTGGAGGTCAGGTTGTGTTGTCTGGCTCACTTTACATCTCTTAAATTTCACCCAAAAAACAATATTCTTTAGTTTATGAATTGATTTCTTTTACTTTTATGTTTTATTTAAAAAGGATTTATCCATTATTCATGTGGATGAGTGAAGCTAGTGAATCGCTTTGACTCATGTTATTTTTGTTTGTTTTTTTAAATAAATTGCATCAAGAGTATTTGCCTCTGCCTTTTTTCTTTTAAAAAAATTCTACTACAGTCAACTGGAATATTCAAGGTTCAAAAGTTAATTTAGTTTTATTTGTTGAGCAGTTCACCAGGTTTTTTGTCTTTTAACTTTGCAAAGCATGAGTAACTTTCTGAAGTCAAATTGGGATCAGGTCCATTTATAAACGAGTTGGATTCAAAATATTTTGAGTAGATGACAATTTGGATTAAGATTTACACGAATATAAGATAAATCTATTTAAGGGAGAAAATTAAGGTTTTGAATTTGGAAGGAACTGGAAAGGGAAATCACCTATTGGAATTTTCAGAACCTATCAAATTTATTACTAACAGCTGAGTCACAAGATGGCATGAAAGGGAATTTGAGTAAACCAGTCTCTCAGAAGTGGAAGACCAAGTTAACTGTTCTGACAATAATAAAGTTGGGCAGTATTAAAGATTTCATCACCTGTGTGCCTTATATACAGGATTCAGAGAATGTCCTGAAAACAAAAAAGCATTCAGCATTGTCCCCAATAAAGGTAGAATTACAAAGAAAAAAAAAACATCATGCTCTCCTGGTGCCAAGCTCATTTAGTTTAAAGTCCAACAAATCTTAAATCTTTTAAATATAAGATTATGTTTTACCTGTGATCATAACAAATGCAACCAGTCCTCTTTGGCCAGCAGATGGCAGCACGGTTGTGCTAATGAGTTAGAATTTTCTCTCTGATTTCTCATTCTGCCAGCATCCTGCTTCATACATTATTTAGTGCTTCTTCTTCACTTGCGCCTTAATGTCAAATCTCAGTGAACGCCGAAGGAGTTGTGCTTTGTACATCTGTGCAGCTTTTTCCCTTCATGCGACACGAATTTCACCACTTGTTTGCACGGGCACAGTCGCCGCGGGTCAATATTGACCCTCGCATTTCCCCCCCCCTGTCTTTTTCACCTGTTTTTCACGGCTGCAGCCTGAGTGACAGTCGAAAACCGCAGGAGCTACATCATCCCCCAGCTCCGGAGAAAGCGTTCCCATCTTTGAAAAAAAAAAAAAAAAAAAAATCAAAGGCCCACTGCGTCAGAGTCTCTCCAGAGTGTTGGGAGCAGATCACTTTTTAACCCAAAGCATATTGATTTATATGAGGCTGTAATTGCTTCAGTGTGTCCTGGATTATTCCCCCCCGTAATTGAGGCCTGGCAGAGGTCTCTTTCCTAGACATAGCCTCCCCGGTGCCAGGTGGTGAGTGGAGAGCGCCGCACCCACTCTCCATTCAGCGGGAGAGAGCCAGGAACCAGCAGCCCTTACCCTCACGACCACTGCTCTACATGGGATAAGCAAACAGCGCACGCAGCCTTCTTCCCCTGTGTGCTTTGAGGTGTCTCCGGCGGGCCCCGGTCCAGGCCCCCGAATGCGGCATGAGGCAGCACATTTCCAGCAGATCCCTGCTGTATCATGAAAACCCGAACCTGAGCGGTGTTTTGTGACGGGATCAATGGCCAAACCCACATCAAGGCTTCCATTACGGCACACGCTATATTGTTCTGTTTGTTGGTGTTTTGGTTTCTGACGCGGAGGAAAATTCCCGGGAATTCGTAATGGAAGCGGCTGGTTTGCACGCTACGACAGGTCACGACGAAATAATGTCAACACTCCGGGGCGGGAGTCGAGCGCGGTGCCTGTTGCACCTGCAGCTCCAGTTCTGATGCTGCTTTGAAGTTAGACGTTTGCTTTTTTTTCTTTTTGGTCCCCGTGTCATCGCAAAAATCTGACACGAATCAAGCCCTCTGGTTTTTGTATTTGTTGACACATTGTCCGACGGTCATGCACCAAATTGATCCAGAACTATTTAGTCACAGCTTTTTAAACCAATATCTTACATTGAATTCTTACGTTTTTAACCATTTTAAAAGAGGTCTGGAGCAAATTCTATAGAAACTTAGGTTCTCTCAGTTGCACCTTTGAAGAATGTATGGAAGGGACTTGGGATTAGTGGCCATAGAAGCCCCTTATTCTAAGGTTTTGTCTTTTATCATTTTCAATAGTGTACTTTCTAATCACAAAAAAAACTGTCATCTTTTTGCATTGCCAGTGCAGCCAAGGTCTTCCTGAGAAAATCTTTAGACGGCCTACAAACCTAAATGGTGAATGAACAGCAGAATAAGAGGCAAACGCTGTTATGTTCACATTTTTTAGGTCAGTCTTGCATTTCACTTCTTTTATACCCTCTGCGGTGAAGGTATATGTCCATTTGTTACACTGGACACGGACCTCCAAGCTCTTAGTTAAATGTGATACTTGAAGTGAGCTCAACAACTTTTTTTTTTCTTAACATTTAAAAAGATAAAGAGAGTCAAGGGGCCAGTTTATTACCGTTGGTGCAAATAAACACTTAGAAGCGGCCATTTAAGAATCCCAATCAACCAGCGCCAGATCCCTGAGACAAAAACTGGTTCACCCCAAAGACAAGACACCCAGAAACAATACCGACAACGTGGTTTACGCCGTTACACAACCGATACACAACCGATACACAGGTGCATGGTTCAACAGAGGAAGGCCAACTCATCAGGACAGGACTCAGTTGTTCAGCTACACCTGAAGGCTAAAGGAAACTCTTTTGAGGACGACAACGTCCACATTTTGGCCAAAGAAGACACATGGTTTGAGTGAGGAAGCCATCTTCGTTAACCTGGAAAAACCATTGAGATTGTGGTTTCAGTCACAACCTGGCACCTACTTACAGAGCACTTTTAGAAACGATACCCAGAAGATTCACCTCTAACCAGCCCTGACCTGACTCACACTTCAAAGAGGCATGTGACCGAAACCACTCTGACGAGGGAGGTAACGCCCCATCAGAAACCCCCTAGCGACCATTAACACTCCCAGAGGTAACCTCTTTGGCCCATCCAGTAGGAGGGACCTTTTGGGTTTTGTTTTTCCCCCACAATTCTTTTGTTACACCTACAATATATTAATCCAGGTAGTCCCCACCATCAGTTAGAACTGATGAGAGGCGAAACGTCTTCTAGAAAACTTCCCGTCCAGTTGCCTAACTGAACTTTCCAAGCCTAATTGCATACATGAATTGGTATGCATTATTTAACAAGAAAAAGTTTTTTTTTTTTTTGTAAATGTGAAAATTGGCCAGGTCTTCAATTGGAAAAACGACACCCTTTCTGTAAATGGCTCAGAAGTTTCGCCTGATGAGAAGCGAACTTGTCCGCCGCCCCCATTCAACAAACTGATTATGCAGCGTCTCTAAGTGTAACAAATCAGTATTGTTTTGATTATTTCCTTTTCATTCACTGCGAACGGCAAATTGGACTTAAAGCCCTTCCTTTGTCGACATCTGTGTTGTATGTTCGGCTACTCTCAACGAGCCACAATCTCATTAGCTCCGGTCGGCCCTGATTTAGCTTTCATCGCCCCTAAATGGGCTGGTAAAGCCTCGGAGTCGAGCTCGCTGAAAAATACCGCCACAAACAGTTAAACTGTCCCAGAGGCATTTTTTCTTTTCTTTTTTTTTTTCTTTGAAAAAGTGGGTTTTGATCATCAACAGGCACCGCAAAATTTCCTGGCCCTTTTTTTGCCAAAAATCCTATGACCCCTGCAAGTTACCAGGGAAACATAGCGTATCAAAACAAGCGCCCCGTTTTTCTTGCGCTTTTCTCCATGACGCACCTTTATTCCTTCCATATGAACGGCGCATGGCACGGCGGAGGGCTCTGATAGCAATATCTGCTCTGACGGCATGGACCGGCCCGGGCCACGCCCTGTTTAACCTCCCGGCTAAAGGGGGAAGTTAATACGCGCAACTCAGAAATCTGACATTAGCCCCCGTAATCACTCCCAGCGTGGAACCGCTCCGTTGTACGACCGGTTTGTTTTCGTTGAGTTGTTTTCGCTGTAGTCAATGGCTAAAGAGAGGAAATGTAATGCGGGGAAACCAGTGACCTGGAGAAAAAACCAGAAACTAATCACCAGAACAGAATAGAGCCGGGTTGCTCCCCCTAATCAAGCGCGTGTCCTTAAATGAACCTGTTTGTGTGTGCCCGGACATGTCCCCCGGCTTCACACTTTTCCCTCCCATCTCCAGTACCAGCCCTGTACTTCCCCAAGGCACCCCCCTACCCCCTTCCCCCCCTCCCCCACCCTTCCCCCCCCCATTCTGTCCTGCCTCTTTGGTGCAGAGTTCATGCAGGTTTTGCGGGGGAAAGAAAAAAAAATAAAGAAAGAAGAAAAAAAATCAAAAGCCTCATCTCGTTTTTCATCCTCAGATCGTTCGCCTCACTTCCTTTCATTTGCATTCTGCACTGCTGTCAGGATCCTGTGTCTCTTGACTCGGATGTTTGTTTGACAGGAGAGACCCGCAAGGGATGCTGTTAACGCTGCAAAAAAAATCCAAAAAATACGAGCCTTTTGGTGCTCGCTTTGTGTTAACATGCGGCGCACCGTTCCAAATGAGGTGATAAAACTCTGTTTCCAACCAAGAAGCTTCCTCTGAGTTTTAACTCTGAAAAGACCGCGGCGAGGGCAGATTTTTCTATCAGAGACCTGCGGACGAGATGAGAGGGCTCCGGTCTGACCAGAAATTACCCCACTGCTGTCTTTTGAAAACATTACATTTTAGATATGTCCTTTTTCGGGTGCTCGGTGGATCAAAATCACTTCTAAAGATGGACACTTTTTGCAGTGAACAGTGTCTCCTTTCCACACCAGAAGGGAGTGAAAACAAGCCTTTCCCTGGTCAATGAGTTCACTGAGGTGGACCTCTCCGTAGGCAAAGCTGGGGGGAGTGTGTGTGTGTGTGGGGGGGTGGGGGGGGGGGGGGGGGGGGGGGGTGCTGAGGAGGTTCAAAAGTCTTGCAATCAAAGAGAGGGATTGAGAAAGGGAGAGAAAGAAACTTGGCACCTCGGCTGTTCAGAGAACTGGGCATTTTAGACGCAGAGAGCAAGGGAGGGTCAGCCCCCCTAACCCCCCCCCACCCCCTTCCTCTCCTTCTTCCCACTACTGCATCAGCAGATGTACTGCACAAGTCCATCACCCTTACTGCCCAAACCACAGCTTGTGATAACAGGAAAATCTGTGATGGAGCTTTCAGACAGCAGATTGTGCGTGCGTGTGTTTTGTTTTGTTCATATCAGCAACCCGAGAAAGACCACCATACTTTCAGATCGGCGTCTAACTGAGACCGACAGAGAGGCCTGTGGGCACACGCCAATAGTCCCGTCCCTCGTCCGACGCTCCCGAGGTCACATGAAAGCAGCTCTGTCCTTCTGCCCGGCGGAGCGTCATTATCATATCCCATGTCGCATCAGCAGCTCCCACCAGTGACGCAATCCACCCAGAAGAGGCAAATACGCACACCCACCACAGACAGAGCTCAGTTGCAGACAACTTAAATAAGGACTTTGAAGTTGGTGGTCAAAGATCTTTTACATTTCACTGAAAGTTTTACACTGAGGAGACATTTTTGAAGGCGGGTGTTATCAAAAACATCAGCCCTCCTACATCTGTATTTTAGCTAGGACGGGAAAGAACTAGTCATTTGACACATTTTAAACCAGCACTCAATGTCCTGGATAATAAGATGAACTGGTTGGCTCCGAACATCCCTCTCTGCTGTGCTTTGATGCTGCCCATTTAAAAACAAAAAAGCTGGCAACCATGGTAACTATGGTCGAGGCATTGGCTGACGCTGGTTTGCCATCCCTGTCCAACTCACATGCCGAGGCCTGGTCAAAGGCATTCGACACACAGGGACCCAGTACCCGGTTGTTTCTGGACCCTCGGTTTATTGGGTTGGTGACAAAACAAGTTACTTTGGGAAAAAAAATCATTTCACTGTGATGTTTCACCTGTTCACGTTATGCTTTCCTGAAAGTGAGGAAGGACTTTAAAGCGTTAGAAGGCAGTCTTGGTTCAAAGTAAGTCCAAATAAATTGAGTTGTCCTCGTGGGACTCGTGTTCGAGGACCAAGCAAGCTCACTCGGGTGGATCAGAATCAGGGAAATGTGAGGGTCCCAACATCTTTTTATGGAGTTGGGACACCCTACTGCACACTTTGCTGCTTTTACAAATTGGTTGGGGGGGGGGGGCGCAGCGATGTGGCGATTAGCACCATCGCCTCAAAGCAAGAGGGTTCCCGGGTTAGATCCCTGGGGGATCGGGATTTGGTGTTTGTTCGTTTCTGCGGGGCCCTGTGGACCAGCAACCCGTCCAGGGTGTACCTCGCCTCCCGCCCGATGTCACCTGGGATAGGCTCCAGGCTCCAGTCCCACGTGACAACACCAGGAACCAGCACTATGGCCAAGGGAGAGGGATAGGACGGGTAGATTTTAAGTCGAGGTTTCCTCGCTCTTACCGAGTCACGTTCAAACATTTGGTTAGATAAAAGTAACTGGAACCAGGGAGTGAGTGGACGTTAAGAGTAGGACCAAATCACCCTTGAACATAAACGCATTGCGGGTTGACACAGGTTCTTTGGACCATTGATCCCCTACTATCCACAGGTCCTATGCAACCTTCTTTGTATCACAAGAGCCCCACCACAAACACCACTAGTCTGAAGAGCTGCTGGTGTCCTGATGGGACTTTGGACTGTGCTGGTTTGTTTTTGACCCACTTTGCGCAAAGGACCCTTTACGCAAAGTGGCCGCAGCCCTTGCGTGTCATCTTGCGTGATGCCCTCACGTATGCTGGTCGTGCATGCTGTTCATGTGCGCCGCATGTCCCGTTTTACGATTGGACGGCGGCACTGATCTCGCGTTTGGCTATTGGATAAGGGGGTTGGTATCCCATCCCCGGTGGAAAGGGCTCCGGCTAAAGCTCCTGGCCGTGACGCGACGCCTCAGCGCGGGTTTTCCTGGTTTCCCCTGGCCCCTGACTTCATCGTGGCGGCAGCAGGTGGCCAGTAACAGATCGAGCCATTCCAGTGTTTACCAGCACAGCTTAGACGGGAGAGATGCTGCAAAGGAACCGGTCAGAGGAGAGAAAGCTCTCCGTTCTGCGCGCCATTAAAAATAACCGCCTGCTTTTTTTCTTCTTCTTCTTCTTCCATTCATTGTATTTGAAGCGTCCAATGTCTTGACACAGTTGTCTTGACTGACTTTCCGAAAGAAGTGAGAAAAGAAAACACGAGGCAGGAACGTTTCCAGTGAAGTGTCACAAAGTTGAGAAGCACCACTTTTTCTCTCGTGCTCTTTGCAGATTTTTTTTTTTTTTTCGTGTTTGCGCATTTCTGTTTTTCTGTGAATGCCACCGTGCCATTATGTCTCCCTCTCAAATGTCCAACTTTGCTTTTTAATGAGCACTCAGTCAAAGCATTGCGACTAAGTGGAAAAAGGCGTTTTTTAATTTGCTTTAAGCTTTAATTCTGATCATATTTAGGACATACTTTGCTGCTGAATCGCGCGGCGCCAAATTACGCACGTTCCATGTTTCCGTTGCCACCTCCAGCTTGTCTTTTAACTTCTCACTTGAGCTTTAGTGGCATAAAACTGTGCTGTGCTGCGTGAGCTGCTGCTGATGGGGCAGCACCGCTCCCCCCCCACCCCACCCCCCCACCCCTATCTTGATGTGAATTACTAACCAAGTCTGAGAGAGATCAAAATTCAATCCCGTTCAGAGAAAAAAGAGAAATGACGTTATTTGATTATGTGCCCAAAATCCTTAATGAATAACCTAGGACGAGTAGGAGGCAAATGCTGCCCCAGCTGTTTCCTGTTGAAAATGTCTGTGTAATGTAGATAAATGTGAGGGATTTTCTCTCTAAATCCGTCTCCTGTTCGCTAAATCTCACTTCTCCAAAACGAGCCTGCGCAATGGAACAAAGTCGGAATATTGAGATGTGACATTGCCCGCATCTCATCCTCTTTCTCTCTGTTTTTAATGACTATCAAACAAGTTCATTTTCGCCGGGCTTTGTCTTGCGGAGACCCGTGGGGATGTCTAGCGCTCATTCCTCTCAGTGGCATTTCTGTGATGTCCTCAAGGTAACTTACCTGATTTCCTTTGGCACTATAGATTTTCACCTTGGTTCTTCACTTGCTGATTATTTGCGCTGAGCATCCTCCGTGTGAGTTAAAACAAGGGGATTTTTTGACTGTTTAGTTGTCTTTGATAGCTGAATGGATTATTGGACTTGACCATTTATAACACATTTATGTTTTGTCGGTTTTATTCAGTTGAGCACCATTCCCATGCGTCTTGATGCTTTTTTTTCTTTAACTTTCAGTGTTTTATAACAGATTGTTCACCTTTTGCTTTAATGGACTTTTTCTTTTTTTTCTTCCTCGCTCTCTTCTTTTGGAGTGTTTGCATGAATGGTGCACGCACGGATGAATGGGATTTTCATGTGAAGCGCTGCTGTGCGCCCTCCGCTCTTTTACTCACCAGAAAGCCCCAATGCAGCTCCGCATCTTTCCCAGTAGTTACTGCTGAGTCTGCATTCTTAGCTGCTAAATATCCAACTTGGCGCTGCGGGTTTATAAAGAGAGGACAGTGTAGCGTGAAGTGTTTTCAGGGCGTCGTGGCTGTGCGCATGAGATGAGGATTGATAATGTGTTTACTCTCTTTATTGTGTACTTTTAGCCCGGCCAGCTTTCTCCACAGGGTTTTGGCAGGAGAAACATTTTCCTTCTAGATTTCCCTTGATTTTTTCTTGGTTTGGAAAGATCCCCCCAGTGCTCTTTGTTTTTCTGGCATCTTTTATTCTGAACGCTGATGCACTTTTGTGCGTAATCGTGCGCAAACTGGAAGTTTTGGGCACACTGGGAATACCGAAGTGGTTGCAGTTAAATGTTAAACGGGATTGCTGACTTGATGACTTGATGAATGTGGATCGCCGTTAAACTACCCGCGCAGTGGGCAGACAACAGGGAACGTGCGTTCCCTGATTTGGACGCCTTGAGCCGGGTTGCGCACTGGCGCTCCGGAGCATCAGCCTCCCTCTTGCATGGCACTGACAGGAAAGGGGGGGGGGGGGGTTCGAATTCAATATATTTTCCTCCACCTTTACGTAACCAAGTGGCATGACATGTATTTTTAACCTACAGATGTTAGATTAAAAAAAAACAACAACAACAACTAAGTAACCTCACTCATTTCAGCTCCTCGTTCGAAAACATCACACGGAGTAGTTTATTAGGGGGGGGTTTGAGATCAACTCTTGTCCAGAAGATGCTTAAAGCCCCGGCAGTGAACATGTTAAACCCCTCCGTCTCCCTGTGCGCAGGGTGCGATGTGCTGTATCTCCTGTGGCCACACCCTCTCACTACTGCTGTGCGTCCTCACCCTGACTCCGGCGGCAACAGGGGCGGGCCCAGAGACCCTGTGCGGGGCGGAGCTGGTCGACACGCTGCAGTTTGTCTGTGGAGAGAGAGGCTTTTATTTCAGTAAGTGCACGCTTTTATTTATTCATAAAGGTTGGCTGCAAATGTCCCAGAGCTCTCCACCTCCAGCGGGCTCATAAATAAAACAGCAGCCAGTTTGGCATCTTGTCTTGACTTTCCCCGCATTAGTGTTTCTTCTTTCATTCATTCCCTGTTCACTGTCTCTTATCTTTAACTACCCCCCCACCACACACACACACACACACACGCACACACACACACTCCCACACCCCCCTGCACTTTTGTTTTAATACTCTGCATTCATTGTTTGGCAGAACATGGGAATAGTGATAGAATATGGAATGGTTTTAGGTGGCGAATCACAGTTTTGCCCTCAGGGAAAGGGCTTTAAGTGGAATTTGGCTGACTATCTTTATGAAAAAAGGAGGGGTAGAAACTAAATGTTGCAGTGAAGTTTTTTTTTTTCTTTCCCTTTTTTTCCACCAGAGAAGGAAAAACTACCCAAAGAAAACTCTAGACCAAGAATCCAGGATTTAAATCTCCAATTTTTCCATTAAGGGTACCACACGGCCCAGAACAGCACAGGATATATGAAGTTACCAAGGTTAGATGCAATGTTCCACCAGCGGCCAGTGCTTCTCAGGACGTGAAGCCTGATCCCTCTGTCAGACACCAGCAGTGTACCCAACATTAGCAGCTGCTAGAAGCTGCAGAGCGGCACTACACAAACTCACCGTTCCAATTTCACTGGGTGACATCCATCAATTCAGCCAGTTCGCACTAAAAGTCCTCCGTGAGACCCACATCTAGCAAAGCCCCTCTTTTCAACAATAATTGATTGTCCCTCTGACTCAAGCGCAGTCTTGACCTAACGAATGGTTTGGTCGTATTCCAAAGTTAAGAAAGATTTTCCACATGTGGTAGGCTGCTTGTCAGCTGCCAGTTTTGAGAAGAAACGAAGAGGATATAACATTTCTGTGGGAGATCGGCATCTATAATGCATTTGCAGTTGCTCTTTTTCTTTCTTTTTCCCCCTGATAATCGATTGCTTTCACCTCAACCTGAACCTGGACGGGTTTCGATGCTACACCCTTTCAAGGACCTGGCTACTGTGAGGGACAGAGGGCCAGGAAAAGGCTCCTCTTGGCCTTTCCACAGCAAAACAATGACAGCACAGGCATCCAGTTTACGCTGATGGAAATCCATAAAAATGCATTTGAATCCCCAAACATAACCGCATGTGCCACGATGACAACAAAAAAGCCAAAAAGCTGTGCAAGGAGCTCAGTGTCTGTCTGTATTGGATCAATGAGCAACAATATGGGCTAGTCATCAATAGAAGTGGAATGAAATCATCAGACCCCCAAATGTGAAACTTGCATGAGGTAGCCTAAGACCGGCTAAGATCGTTTGTCCACTTTTGACTGTGATTCCAGCCCCAGACTGACACCGAACTTCATTAGGTTATCAAAGGATTGTAGTTCAATTAGAAATCACGTCTCATAATGCGAGAAGGATACTTAGATAAAGTTCCATTACGATTGTCTGGTACAAATCTGTCCTAGAAACGGACCAATTTGCAGTATAGGACACATCACTTTGAGGTGGTCCATTTTAAACTAAGCTTTTATATATCCAACTGACCTTAAATTGGTTATGAAAACGTAAGCGTTACACGGTTTATGTGATTAAATCCAAACAGAGAGTAAATAAAAGTAACATGTCAAGCCAAGTGGGGGAAAAAAAACTGAAAAAGATTTTCAAAGTAAAATATATTACTTGCTTCTGCTGTTAATACAAAAAAATCATAAATGTATGGAGCCACAACGTTTAATGCAGTTTTTTCTGGCACTGACCCACTGGACCTTGCATGGTTCTATCTTGTGTAAGATAATATGAGTTGACTTAATTTTGGATGAGTCGGTAGCACGAGGCAGGTTTGTTGTCATGTGGAATTGGAAACAGCATTGGACACGCACAACAAGTTCATGTCCAATCAAACAAAAAAGGGGGTTTAACATGCATCCTTCTTCATTCTATAGGTACCTATGCAAAGTCATTGGAGAAAGCCAACCAATGGGTTAAAGCAGCCCGGGGCTTTTTTCTCCGGTTTGGAATTGATTGATCAGTTGGCAGCTTTGCGGTATTCACATCATCTTACACCTTGCAACTGCAGCTCGGCATTACCCCACTACATTACCCTCCATGACCCATCCACACTCTCTGCATCAGGCCTGCCAGACAGCTCTTGGAGAGCCACCAAACTACTGCGAAGCTGCAAGTCTTGTTCATCCAGATGCTGCTGGCCGCACACACGTACTGTGAAGTGGTCATGACAGCCTAATCGTCTGCCAGCTTTTCTGCTTTTTCAGACTTCTTGGTGTGTGGATTCCCTTTCCTGCAGCTCATCTCTTGTACAAATAACCATCAAAGCTGAGAAACTGTGGAAAAACCGTGGACCACATGATCATACGCAACATTCTCGAAAATTTCAGCACAGAAATTCCATTCGATGCGATTGGTCTTTCGCCATCGGCCGCTGTGTCGGGTTCTCGGTAAATAGATGCTTTGGCTTGGACTTTGGCATCGTCTTTTAACCGGTCCCTGGTTGAGCTAATGTTTTATATCTGTTTGTTTGTTTAAAAAAAAAAGAAAAAAGAAAGAAACGGGCCCAAGTGTCTGCTGACGAAGCTTCAATTTCTACATTCTTGATGATCTGCTGACCTGTCGGAGCGCTCGTATCCATCTTGTGAGGAGGGGGTTGATTTTCGGCATGGATCCTGGTGCAGGATACGGTCCTTAAACAGGACCAGACCTTTTCGCGGTGGGGTGAATGTATTTGCCCTCCCCGCATTTTACGCTGAGCTGTCGCTGAGCTACACAGCGTCCATCAATCAATGCTCTCCGCTCTCCCGCTACAAAAAAAAAAGAGGCGCATTTCAAAAAACACTCCATCCTTTTTTTCGGTGGAGATGATGGGGTTTGAGCGGCGGGGCGTTTTGCCTCGGAAAAATATACAGTTCACTGTCTTCTCTGGGTTTCTCCTGTGCTCTAGCATTCTTTTTTTTTTCCCTCCCCCTCTCGTTCGGCTGCTTAAAATACCATTGACAGTCAGCCTCTCTGGGTCCTGTCCTCTGCAGAACTTAAGTTTGGCTGAAGGAGGCATGCTTTTCCCCCTGAACTCCTCTCCTGCGGCCTGGCCGTGCTGAACCCTGTAGCCTCGCGATCAATAGGTGCCGCATTAACCTTTGGGCAAGGCAGCACGCTCGCATTCGGAGACTTCGGATTTCCTACCCCCGACACAAATGCCAAACGGCAGTTGGTGGAAATCTTTTCTCCAAGTGTAATTAAACACACGGCGGCCTGTCACACAGAAGAAAAAAAACCCACAACTGTAGTCAGTTTTTCCAATTATTAGCCTGACACAAAATCCTCAGTTGTCTTTGTAATGCTTTAGCAAGCAGGGCTGTGGGTTGACTTCACTGGGATGTTCATTCCATGAATCAGATCTGTTATAGGATTCTTTCTGGCTTGAGAGTGAGCACTAAATAGTCCCGGGTCTTTCAGCCTCTCTAGATTTAAAGCGGCATATCTCTATCCTTTTTCTTCTTAATGAGCAATGCACACACTTTCGTGAAGTACCACACTATGAAAAAACAAGTGGTTGTGGGCACTTTAAAAAGGAAAAAAAAGGGCCAAAAACATGTGAAAAATTCTTTTTTTGGGGGGGGTTGCAGCTGTGGCACGTCATCTGAAGTCTGAATGAACCAGGGAGAAAATTACTTTAAGCAGCAATTGCGACTCGCTCCTCAGAATCTGTCCATGTCAGTTTCACTCAGAGCTACTTGAGCTGGAGAGAAGGAGAATGTGTAAACAGCACGTCACGCTCGTGCACGCGCACACGCTTCCTGCTCAAACACACCCGGGAGCGAGGCCTGGTCCCTTGGCAGCAGGGGATTATGTGGATTACAGGATGATCAGGACACCCCTCCCCGGCCGAACACTGGGCCCGGGCGCACAGCGGAAGGATCTAAAGAAAGACCTCCTGTGTCCCATCCATCGCCGCCAAAAGGTGTCCGTTTTCCCATCGAGACCTGGACCCAAAAGAATCTCAGACCTCTGGGTGAATCAGAGCTCAGCAGAACAAAGAAGCATCTCATGAAAAGCCCAGGCGGCCCTCCTCCAGATTCAGACCCTGCACATTAGGTGAAGCTGAGACGGGAGGGATTTGAGGACACTCAGGCACTCAACAATAGTTTACCTTTGGAACTCTTTGACAGTCTAATCCAGTCACGTAATGTGGGACGTGGGCAAAGAAAAGCTAGGATATGTCCTTAAGGTTGTTCATCTGTTCCATTTTCTGGATTTTCTGCCTTTGGTGGTCACGAACTGCTGTTCATTTTCGGTATTTTCAACAAAAACGCATACAGGAACATAAAGGAACCCAGTCCGACCTCGGGGGGGACAGGCCTAGGAACTGGCCCAGTGCGTCCTAGGAACCCATGTTTGTTTAAAGCACCTGAGGTGCTCCCTTATGCTCCTTACCGTCGTTCCTCTTTTCCCGCGAATGCCATTTTTATCCGTGTGCTGGTTGCGTTCAAGAAACCGTAACTCGCCATTACGATGTCTGACAGTGCACCTACTTCCAGGCCATGCGATTACTTTCACCTGTGAGGTCTTAGGTCTTGCAACATCGCTGCGAACACGCAACACATTGTTGATTTGGTAGGTCAAACGATGCGTAGGTGTTACATTGGGTTGCTTTTATCCTAAATACCAGGGGATCACAGCCCACCACGATATATTAAAAACAACAGACATAGATACAATTTTTAAAAAAGCTTGAAAAGTGTATACAGTTACGAGTTTAAACTCTTAAATATCGACAAGCCACCTTGTCACATGAACCACAGGGTTCGTCATAGTTGGCTTTTATATTTTGGACACTGAGGAGTTCAAGGAAATACAGCCAATGAGGTCAGATATGTATCCTTTGAATCTGTGGAGGGGAATTAAAACCTGTACCATAGCAACAAAGCATTCCAGCCTCAAATACCAAGTGATTTTTCTTGCACAGTAAAAAAGGATAAAAGATCCCGCTGGGGATTTGCAGCTTTCAAGAAAATACCCGATCTTTGTTTGGTTTCTTCCATGTAGAATATGAATTTGCTGCCAACAACGGTGAGCGCAAATAAGTTCTAAAACGATATTCATAAAAATATCAAAAAGAATATCTTGACTTGATACCGTCAATAAACCCTTTATTACACACACGTGTTCACAATTCTATTAACAACTCTTAATTCTAGTGGCCGGATGAGGCTCTAGTGTCACAGCACAGGAACACTTTGAATATGCCATAAACGCTTTGTGGTACCAGCGATAAAAAAGAGTCAGTTTCCAGTACTTTGAGCGGCTTTTATAGTCCCTGCCCAGTTGTAAACCGCCTGACACTTTGCAGGAAGAGTCCTGCATCAGCTCCAAGAATCCACTGATTTTTATTGAGCATAACCGAGCTGTAAAAATCAGATGGTTTCTGTGCCACTCTGGAATGGGGGAATCCAACCATCTCTCTCCAGTGCCCCTCCTCAGAGGAATGAACACTATGCATTCAGAGCCTATTGAACTCAAAGGAAACGTGCCTGAGCCACACGCCGGCATCAGAAGCAACGCAAAGTAAAACCTAGCATCCTCTAGAAAACGCTCTTCGAAAAGGACTTAAACGAAACACCGTAGTTCCCACTTGGACAATGTGACGGTTGTAGACTTCATTAAAGGTATTCTGATACCCTTAAAGTGTTTAGGACGAAGAAAGTGAAAACCATTTTGACCCTTTCAGATACATGGAAGACACTATTGTGCATGTATCCTGTCAAACACTTTGAATTGGTGTTCTGAATGTTTAAAGAGCGTGAATTAATTGAGAAAAAAGTAGACTGGAATTACTCTAAAGCAATAGAGTTAGGGGAGTTACAGGTCTTTGGTCTATTTGAGCACTTAAGAATAAGGAAGCTTATTATCTTTGCAACAAAGTAAGCTTTGAAACTTTTGCCCTCCTTTTTCTCTCCAGAGCTGAGATTTGAAGACCATTCCATTTTTGACCTTCCCCCCTTTTTGGAGATTCGCTCAAAAAAAGAAGGAAATGTTCAAAACCATTATTTTTGTTTTGCACGTTTTCTTTTTTTTTGTTTTTTGAATTTTATCCAGGAGTTCCCTTAAGATTGGCACAAAGATTTACTTGACTTTAGGAAAACTTCATTTGGCAATGATGATGAAATGAAAGTATCCATCCATCCATCCATCCATCCATCCATCCATCCATCCATCCATCCATCCATCCATCCATTTTCTGAGGTGGGGTGAAATGAAACTACCAGAATGAAATCAGTTTTGCTAAAATGGTGTGGAGATTTTCGCAAAAACACTTTTCTGAATAACATATCCCAGAGTTCAGCAACAGGAGGGGGATCTGGTTCGCAGCGGCGCAGAAATGGGACGCAGTAATTCCCTTTTGTTTAGCAACAGTCGCCGAAGACAACTCTATGTTTAGGAGGGATTAAAGCAATTAACCATGGCACCGCAGCCCTTTAAAACCAAAGCTTTTAGACCTGCTTATTGAATGCGTGTTTTTTTCCCCCCAGCCTGCCCGGGCTCATTGTTTCCTGTTACAACCGGGGGGGGGCGGCTGATTTGCCTCTTCGTTTCCAGCTGATTGTGCAGCGGGGTGGCAAACTATTTTCAGTATAACAGCGGATGTGAAATCGTAAAGCTTTATTGGGAGGGACTGGAAAACAGGCCAGGCAACAAAAACACGGCCCCACTTTTTGGCTCTCGGCTGGCCTTATATAATCGACAACGTCATATTCCTCTTTTTCTAAAAGTCTTGACATCAGATGTTAATATAACAGCCGGGGCCGGTGCCACTGGAACTCGCCATCTGTTTGTTAGGTTGACGGATAATCGCAGACGAAATGCGGACACGACAACTCGCAATAAATCAGCATTTTGAAAGAGTAGGACTACGAAACGAAGACACTTTTGAGCTGTCTAAATGTTTCATTTGGGAGTGTGAGCGCAGGGTAAATCTGGTTCCTCTGCTTCATAAATAATGGAACTCCATAGTGTATTTTTAGCACCAAATCTACCTGATGTGCAACATGAAAGCCTCCAACAGCGTTTCGCTTCTCCGACCTCCCATTCACACCTCCATTAACTTCCCACTCTGCTTTGTGTTTTTTTTTTTTGGGGGGGGGGGGATTTGGAGGAGAAAGATGCTTCTGTTTCTGAATGAAAGCTGCCCCTGTCCAAAACAACAGTGTCAGGACAAGGCAGACAGAAAGCAGAAGTTAATGCACTTTGTCAGCACTGGCAGTGCTCTGAGCCAAGAGCTATTAACTCTGAGAGGGAAAGGCATTTCCTCCTTGTAAATGCCATATTAAATTATTATTATTTCATTTGGTAACAGGGAAAAGCCCATCAGGGCTACATTGTTCAAGGTGAGCGGGGAGCCGTAAATGGAGGGCCCGGGTTTTTCTGAGCCACCGAAGAGAGCGGGGGACAGGGGAGGAAGACGGAGTGTGTATTGGCGTCACTGCAACTTTATGTGGTCAAAAAGCACACCTAGAATCGGCCTTATAAATGTAATTTGGACTGGAACATTTCCACGGCACCTTCGCCGAAAGCCTCCACGTCTCTCCGTTGGCTTCTGGACGGTCTCTGCCAAGTGAGAATGCGAATGAGCCCTGAGGCACGGCCAACGGGGGCGCGGCCTGGGTGTTTCTGCAGGTGGATTGGGCTCGGAGCGGATTGCGGCCTGGCCTCACAGGACGAAAAACGACCGAGCCAAAGCGGCCGAGCGGAATATTCTAAATTTCTATATGGCGACTGTGACCGAAACTTCTTTACGGCCGCGCAGCTGCCAAAACGGGTCCACGGCGTGCAACGTGATCCACTGTAAATTTCACATGCAAGAAATCAATGTCATTAAGACTGTTCATACATCGGGAAAACCCGTCTGGTGACCACCGCTTAACTACGGGCACGGCACTTGGCAACCCGCCGCTACACGTTTGATTAATTCAGCCGCGTCGCATAAAGTGCCGGAGGGGAGAGGGAACCGAATTTATGGAAGCGGAATTTCTTATTTGCTAAACTTTGCAAAGTTCACGCGCAGTTCATAACGACAGGGGTCAAATTTTCCACTCAGTTTCAATATCAGATTTCAAATCAACCTGTAACTCATCTCACGAATAAATCCAGAGCAAATTTTCTAATTGATTTAGTTAAAAAAAGATCATTGAACCACAAGCAAGACAAGAAATATCCAAATAACTATAAATGTATTAAATGATTTGGATGAAAATTCAAACTTGACACTAACCCTTACCCTAAACCCCCCCCAACAACCCCCACTCATGCAAATAATTTGGATTCCTGTCTTGAATATATCTTGTTTTACACCAACGGAATGCTAATAGGTTCGTCCGAAAAGAGATGTTAGTGGCCAGCTCAATGTTTCCCGGTGTTGTTCCCGAACAGGTAAACCGACAGGCTACGGCCCCAATGCGAGGCGGTCGCGGGGCATCGTGGACGAGTGCTGCTTCCAGAGCTGTGAGCTGCAGCGGCTGGAGATGTACTGCGCGCCCGAGAAGCCCGGCAAGACTCCCCGCTCCGTGCGCTCGCAGCGCCACACAGACGTGCCCAGAACCTCCAAGGTTAGTACCCCTGGACACAAGGCGGACAGGGGCACGGAGCGGAGGACGGCGCCGCAGCCGGACAAGACAAAAAAGAAGGTGAGGGCCTTGCGGGACGCGCTTTGAATCGGGGATTACCTGGGTGGAAAAGTGGGCGATCACGTGGTTTTGCCTGAGAATAAAGCAGAAAAATGATCAAAATACAAATGGGTGGTTTATTCAGGTCATAGTTAATGCAGCGCTGGGCTCAGACCGGCATCGCTCCCCGAGGCAAACTTAAACGCCGTTTCAGCTCAAACTAAAAGCAGGGAAAAGGAAAGCAGCTGTAACCTGTAAAAGTGGAAAAACCTCGGTTAAATAAAAAAGGGTTCATTGGGGGAAAAAAATGAACCGTTACTTCAAAGTCAGCCAGTTCAAGTAATAAACACTCTACTGCCTGTTAAGAGGAATGAGTCTATTCAACTGAAGTTGTTTCCTTTTTCTCCCACAGAGACCTTTACCTGGACATAGTCATTCATCCTTCAAGGTGAGCACACAATTGGATTTCAGATCTTCATATTTGATCTGTCATCTTTCCAAATAACTCCCAAGATCCATAGTAAGATCAGACATATCTAAATGTTGATAGTGCTGAAACAACTTCATCATGGGTGATGAACAAGACCAATGCCTCCATGCAAGTCCTATTTTATTCTTCTTTTGCCAAAGTAGAGGAGAGGAATGGGCTTTTTAGCCTTCTTCTTTAAAAAGAAAACCATTAGCAACACAAGCAGCTGAGTGGTTTTTGTGGTAGATCCAGTGGCACTCATGCTCCCCAGACGGCACCCCCACTCTGCTCCTGACATTCCGTCTTAAAATTCAGACATCCCACTTTAACAGACTGACACACGAAAGCTCGGGAGATAAAACATGAATATCCCCCTCAGTGAACTTCACTTCACTGTTTCTTGGTCTTACAATTGTTCACACTCAATTTAGTTCAATGCCATTTTCTGATCCCCAGAAAAATTCCATCCGGGCAGCGTTAGTGATCAAAGGTTGACATCGATGGTTTGGGGATGTTGCTTTTGTTGCTTCGGCAACAACTTAGCTGATGGGGGCATATACAGGGTTGACGGGAAACAGTTTGACACCTTGCCCATTTCATGTCCAAGATTATTCCTTCAACAAGGTTTAAAACCCTTTTCTTTTAGCGTTACTTCTCTGGTCTGTCTTCCCGTGGAGTCCTAAAACTGAGTGGAGAGGTATTAGAGTTGCTAAAGCTAATAAAACTGCTGATATTCATGCCGCGTCCTTATCTGAAACCTGAAGGGGTCTTTGTCGTCCGCTAGCAATCTCTCGAATCTTCCCGAAGCTCAGTTAGCCGCTACGAAAGGTTCACAACTTTCCTGTTGCCATGGGGGAAGCATCATAACAGTGTCACAGTTACTGACAGAAGTCCTTCCAGTGACACGCCATCCAAGTTAGCACAGAAAATCTGTGATTTTATTGGGGAATAAAAGATAGAGAAGATGCAAAGAAGGACGCTTTACTTCCAGAGGTACTGCCTCAGGCTCCCTGCCTGTAGAGCTACGCCATATTGGGAATTCATATTTATCATTCACAAGGCTAACATTAAAATTTTCCTCAGTTTTGAGCTGGCAAAAGTTGTCCAGCACTTAACTTATAATGTGTGATTGAAGAGTTCATAGACTGCATTGTCTGAAAAAGCTAAACAAGGCATGAATTCAATGCTATGATATTCTTATATATACAGTTTAAGCTAGCATTTGTCCTAAATTCCTAAAGTCCTAAGTTTTATTGGCAATAGGGTGGTCATTTACACCACATGCTTTTCTTAAAATCTATCAGACATCATCTTTAACTATGACCATTGAGGGGAAAATTCCCAAAATACTATATCATGTATGTGTCATGTTTTAACCTGAAGCTTATTAGAGCTTCCCCATTTTGTATGTCAAATCTATAATCAACGTTTTTCTCAGTTTGAATATCTTCTAAATTAGTGTAAATTTCCACGGAGAGCCATGAATTTAGGGTGACTATATCTCAAGGGGCTCCCCTACCAAATTTGTATCCAGTATGGTGTTTTTCTTCTCCACTACAATATCTGTTTTTGTTCTATTACAGGAAGTGCATCAGAAAAACTCAAGTCGAGGTAGCTCCGGGGGCAAAACTTACAGAATGTAGGACTGGAGCGAATGGACATGCCCATCAACTTGGGAAGCAAGACGGGAGTGGCCTTACCTGGTACCCCTGTGGAATGGTTCACTGTAAAACAAAAAGAAAGTGGATGCTAACCATGGCCTGAATGATTGAAACCTCAGAGCTAAGTAGTGTCTGAGGGGTTGGATGAGGGATCTTGTGATTATTTTATACACTGCACCATTCCATATCGGGAGGAATTCTATGTTAACGCAATGTAACAGACTAGTTTAGCTGCTGAGACACGAACAAGAGCTTACTATACCTCCATGTGCGAACTGCAGCATCCCCTGGCTCCAGGAAATCAGAGAGCGTCAGGCTGTGGTTGGGAATGAGTGGTCCAATCTTTTCCCCTGAACTTTGTAGAGGTACATTCTTTTACTCTGAGGACGTGAATGCATTCACTCCTTTTGGTAAAACTCAATACTTTGTCACCGGTCACGTATAGCCGTTATTACCCCTGTTCAACGCTGATATTTTACCTTCAGAATTTGTTTTTTATGCACCATGCATTGCTGTGTTTGTTTGTTTTTTTAAAATGTAATCATGTTTATTTTGAGGACAAAGACCAGGTGGTTCATCAGACTTTAAATATTGGTCTTATTAATTTCACTTTGAGCCAGAGTCAAATCCCTACTAAGTAGAGTCACTACAGGGTTTGAGACCAATCCAAATCCCCCCTAAGCCACAGGAAGTGTTGAGATCTTGAAGGCTGGGGTCTCCAATCCCCTAAAGTCCTGTTTCAGCAACAGATGAAGCATGATTTGGGGGGATTTTGAAGTGCAGTAGGTATTACCAAAACAAAGTTGTGGCTTTCTCTGCTCTCAAAAACAGAATAAAATCCTTTTTTTCGTTTTTTTTTGTTTAGCCTGTCAGTGCACATTTCTTGTTTTGTTGTCGGTTTAGTCGGTCATTTCAAAGTCCATAGCAGTCAAACAGTGACGATCGGGTGAAATGTTTGTCGTCTGCGTCCTTTTCACATGTCACCCACCCTTGCCAGATCTGATTACCGTCAGCAGTCAAGTTAACCTGTGATCAACATTTCGGTCTGAGCTAAAGCCAGTGCTCAAGGTTCAGCACAAGCGATGGGAGTTCATTCTCAGTGATTCAGAGCAACTTGCCTTGATCACGGGACAAAATGTTCCCAATCCTGGAAATGACTGTTTGTTAGCAAAAGACAGTTTGCAACCCACTCTGGTTACAGTAGGTGTATCAAAAACTATGGAATACTGTCTTTACTAGTTTCCCTATCAAGACGCTGCTTACATCTTACTGCATGACGATGTCAACACTTATCATACTGTTCATCAACGACTTCTACGCTCAGAATATGACCGTGTGCAACCCCAATACTAACAAGCGTTTATAAGGAGGAAGGGGCGGTTTGAATCACTGGTCAACCACGGTGAAAGAGACACCATTTGACATCCATCCAACTCAATGTCCAACTTTCATTTAGCTTTTTTTACTTCACTTTCACTGGCAAATGGTTAGGAGTTTAAAAAAAAAACAAGGTTCAAATTGGAATTGATAAACACAGACTACTGTAGGTGTACATGTTACAAAATACATGGTTAGTATTGCAACATGCTTAGTTAGTGGTCATATTTATCATCATTAATCGGTCAAGGTTCTCCATCAGTCACCTGGACGCTGGCCAACACCGAACAATAGAATAGATACGTGTTACCATCTCACAATTTCTAATCACCGATTGTGACACGGATATATATATATTTGGAGATGTGGGCATACATACTGAAAAATTCTGGTGAGACTTGACTGTACCAATAACCCAATAAACTAACAAGTTTAATGATTGATCGGTCTTGGCCTGAGATTTTTGTTAGTTTAACGAGGCGAGCTGCAGAATAATCTGAAGTGACGACAAGATAACAACAAACTGACACCGTATCTGATGCAAAGTCCACTAGAAAAACATGAAATGAAAACAGTTAATAGTATATATTGTCAACTTTACATATCCACCCGGACATGCGAGATACAGGACACATACTAGTACACAAATTCACACGAAAAGCACAGTGTAAATTAGAAGTGTGCAAACATCAGCACTGGTCGAGTACACAGAAAAGTCAGTTCTGAGAAGTCCTTGAATGAGGACTAACACCGCCTGCTCTTTGCTGGAGCCCCCATTAAATCGTCAAAGACAACTCATATCTGGCTTTGCCTTCTCTTCCTGTGTATAATCAAACAATACTCCCATTATGTTAACCTATGCATTACTATCATTCATTGTACATGATGGTTTCATATAACAAAACTGTATAAAGAATCCTATCCACTGTATAATGGTGCTATTCTATAGTTTGTTACTTGCAAGAGATGGCTAAGACAGACAGATGGCAGGGCTTACATTGGAGGTCTTCCCTTTTGCACAGCCTTGTGGCCACGATTTTAATAGTGTTATTATTAGTGTATTTGTAAGCTGTTTCAATAAGGTAGTAGTGTAAGCGAGTAAATGTATCTGTGTGAAATCTGTGAATGCATGGAGAAAAAAAAAAAAAGGTAAAGAATATACAATGTTGTGGTCCCAAGAAGGCAAAATGCTATTTTTTCTACTGTTTTTAAATTATTTTCTCAATATAGATCCCTTATGCCAAATAACTTGACAAAAGAACTGTGAACTATAATCCTTCCAATTATATTGAAATAGTTAAAGGTCATGGTGTGCTTTTGTCTGTCCGGAGGTTTGTGTGTTTATGTGTGTGTATAAATGCCTCCCTGGAAGCCAAAGTACTAATCAGTAACACGACTCAAAGCGAGACTATGCAACTTTTGCTGAACTCTGGTCCCGTGACTCACTACGGATTCAATGTCCTGTCTATCTGTAGAATTTTAGAATAGTCATGATTCCAGTGTTGAATCTATACGCACATTCTAAAGTATCAAATTTGAAAATATGCTGGGACTTTTATCCAGTAAACCTAGATTATACACTCCAAACCAATCAATGAAATGTGCCTATTTCACATGTTCTTAATTCTCTTATTCAGAAACATTGTGTAATTTCTTCTAACTGTTCCGTATTCGCCTTATATAATATAAAAATGGATCTAAAGTAGTGTAAATAGTACAGGATAACACTACCAGGTGCATAAAATTAACAGTCTAAAAAATTGTCTTGAAATACGTACAATTATGCTTTAGTTAAGAGTACTGAACACTTTCTATCATTGTTACGCCTCAACTTGGCCACAAATGTTTTGGATGAGCTTAGTCCCTCGGCTAAGCTAAGCTAAGATAAGATAAGCTTATAAGACACTCATTGTAGCTTCATAGTTAGCTTACAAATATGAAGTAGGTTCATGTCATATGAAAATAGAATAATAAAATTAGCCTGTAAAAGTCACGTGTCATACTCAACATACTCCTGTTTTAGGATGTGGAAATCGTCACTAAACTATATTTTTTGCATTAGTTCATGAACACAACTTTTTGTTTATACGTGCCTCCATTTTAAACAGGAGTGAAGCCGCTTTTTGGTGGTCTTACACCATCCAGCTTCTAGAAATCCTTGGTTTGCCTCCTGTCCAGTACCTTGAAACTTAAAAAAAAAATCAATTTCCTTATTCTGGGTTAGGTCAAATGGCAAAAACTACGTTGTTAGGTTTAGACAATAGAAACAACAAGGCACCGTACTTGGAAAACATTTGTATTTAAAAATATTCCACTATCATAAATCTGTTGGGCGTTATGCCTCAACTATTTTTGTTTCACAACGGTTTCATCCCGAGGAATCTGACAAAGCATCAATAACTTGGCTCAATAAGCCCTTTTCTTTTCTTTTTTTCTTTTTCTTTTGGATTTTGATTAGATATTACAAAAGTTACAAAGTCTCGCTTGAGAGTCAGGCAGAATTTTGTTTTTGTTATTTGTCCTATTTGCTAGCAGCTCTCCAAATTGCAATGAGAATGTATTTTTTGGAGATTTTTTTTTTTCTTTTTGAAGAAAAGTTCAGGAGCAGGACCACACCTGACACCTCCCACTTACCGTCATATTTCTGGTCACGATCACCTGCCCTGCACACCGGTTGGGCTCATTCTCCACCCTTCTCCTCACTCTAATTTGTCCTCTAACATGAGAATCTGCAAGCTGGTGATCCTAAACAACCCCTTACTACACAGGAACTATATACCTTACTTCTCCTTACCACCGTGCATATTACATATTCAGTAAACCATTATGTGCATCTCGATGATGGTGCGGTCTTTGCTCTTAAACTTTATCAATATCAAGGTGTTTTAAAAAAAATATTATTCAAGTATAAGATATTTTGACGGGAGTTTGGCATGTTTTATTTGAACCTGGCAATTAAAATGGGCTAGAAGCTTTTAGATGAACAATTCTGGCCCTTCTTCACATATATACAGTACAAACCAAAGACTTTTTGGTGAGAATTAATCCTCACTTGGTATGACTTTTTTGTCATGAATTAAGCCAATCACAAAATCATTAATAACCATCAGATAAGGCCAACCCCGTTTCAACTCTTTTGGGGTACCTGAAAAAAAACTGAACCAGGCAGAAGTCACTCTGTGTATTTGGTCTATTTTAAGAAGTGATGCAGAGAGCCACAGAAACCACCATTTAATAATTGGACTATGAATCGGTTGAACAAATCAGTTTGTCAGATGTGTGAAATAATCAATGCAGCCTGTAACACGGGGAGGGTGCGAGTCCTTCCCTTCGCATCTCCCTGAAGTGTTGTAATGGGAAATGACCATTTCCTGAAGCTCAATGTGTAAGGACTTGTTCGATTACAGCACTGTTATCTATGGTGCTCGATTGCCTTCTGTAGAAAAAAAAACATTTTAACTGACAAACTGTTCACCATTCCTGCTGAATAAACCACTTGTCAACATCAACAAACATGTCCGACGAGTTCTTTCCAAAGCACCCACACGCGCTCGGGGGAAATCTAACACGCAAATATGGATTTTTACGAGAGACCTTATGGATTCTGACATATAAACGGGAGCTAATTACACAAAGGAAATTTGCAGTTATTAAATTGTCGAGGACGTTTTGGCTCCACTGGAAGCCATAAGTCGAGCTGAGGCCGGGCGCACTCGCGCTGAATGACAAAAGCGATGCTTCCCATGAAGCGGCGGGGGTCTGCCAAAGCAAACATCCAGGGGGTGTGGCTCTCCTTGAGGCCCCTCGAGCTGCGCGTTCAGCTCTTTTGGCTGACATTTGCATGCAGCGACAGGGGCCGGGCTCCAGCTCGCTTACTGTAAAGCGCGGACGCATGTGCGGGGCCCGGTGTTAAGAAAAAAAACCCTTACAAACTCTGGCTCCGGCTCAAACTAAGCACACATCAGGGATCAAAACACGGAGCAGCAGGGGTGGAGGGGGGTGTGGGGGTTGGGGGGGGTTGGCAAGGTCCGGGTCATCACGGTCGGGCTGGATGTTATTTCATCCCTCTCTGTTACTAATACGGAATCAATTATCCCGCCCTAATAATAATGCGATTGCAGGTTGCAAGCTTGCAAGATTCCGAGTTCAAATAAACAAGAGGGATCCTGAGATGAGAGGCTCGGGCAGTGGGAAGAAAGCAAGCCAAAACAATTACCCATCCATTCATCCATCCATCCATCTATCCATTTGCTATACCGCTTATTCCCAATGGGGTCCCAGGAAAGGGGGGGGCTGGAGCCTATCCGAGTGGACGGCGGGCGAAAGGCAGATTGCACCCCGGACAGCTCACCCGGTCCATCGTAGGGCCCACACAGAGACAAACAACCACACAAAACCTGCCAGAACAATTAGGGCCAGCCAATTATCTGACATACACGGCCGCGGTCTGGTTGTCTTTTTTTATATGCCAAGAAAAAACAAACTGGAGGGTGTTTTAGAAGTCTGTTTGTTCTCTCGCACGCGCTAATTTTGGATTGCGTTGTAAACCCCGGCGAGGTCAACGCAGAGATGTTTGAATAACCTCCAACGCCAGGATGGTTCTGGAAAGAACACAAAGCCTCCCCATTGATCTACCGTGCACCCGGGGATCCAGTGCATCTGAGGACACAGATTTTGGACGGAGCCCTGAAACCCAATCTCTCCACTCTCTTCAACTCCTCATCTTAAACACACAATTGTCTTTTGAATGACCTTGTGGTCTGTTTTACTACACTCACCAATTTTACTACTTATTCTGGTTGTTCTACAGAAGGAAAAAAAAAAAAAAGGGAGCTTGTAAGGCTTCATCAGCCTTTGGACATTTATTTCTTTTCCAGTTGTACGCACGTTAATTCTGCCGGCTCAGCATTTGCTGTCTCTTAATACCCCCCGAAAAATAAAATTAAACATTCTCATGTGCTGATGCCATCCGGACCCGAAAAAACCACGAGTTGATTGCGACAAATTTCGCATTTGTTGTCACGCTGAATGGAGGCCAGACGCAAAACACAGAAGGGCCGAGCAAGTGCACCACGCTGCCACGAGAATATTAGCAGCAAGATTAAAGCCTGTTTGAGAGAGAGAGAGAGAAAAAAAGTGTCTAAGCCACGGGATTTGGAGATTCTCCCTCTTTCTCGGTTTCAGTCGACAGTGGAAATTCACTGAGGCCTGATTATAGCGGGAGAGTGTTGGCTCAGCTGTGCGCTTTAAGAACCCATGATGTCAGAGCCTTATTTTCCTTGGAGAGGCTCTCATCAGCTGCATTGTTCCAGGAAACCATGGTCTGTTCTCTGGACATAAAAGATTTTCGAAAAGATGGAGCCCAGTGCGTGCCCCCCCCCCACCCCCGTCCCATTTCCCCCCCCTCCTTCTTTTCCAGCACCCCGACCTCTGGCTCCACTCTGGACACGAGTATAGAATGTCCAGCTCATGGAGCATCTCGGTTCCTCGGGTCCGAGGCTTCCTCTGTGCTCCGATCTTTGAAGATCATAATCATCACAACATCGCAGAGCCCCGAAATGTCCGAGATCTCCTCTCCTCTCGATGGTGTGGGCGGTGTGACTGAAATAAAGCACCGGGCGTGTGACAGGTTGATGCAAGCATCGGACAGAGCTGATGAGTAAAACACTCCGCAGCTTCTCCGAGGTTTCGGCATTCACATGTCTGGATGGAGTTATCCAAGCCCACGAGCACTGGGCCGGCATCGGCCGAGGACCCCAAAGAGCCGAGTAGTGTAAACATTAGGCATTTCATAAATAACCCTTCATGGACACCTTCCAATTTCCATCTGGTCGTCATGAGATTACTGACTCATTGTTGTTGTTTTTTCTTGTGTTCATTTCAAGAATTATGGTAATGAGTTCCTAGAAATCCAGAACAGGGGGAATAAAAATGAGTAACCAGATAAAGACGGCTCAGAGTTCATTGAATCCTCTCAGTTTTTTTTCGAAGATCTAAAGCCGTTGGATCTGGATCGAGTCGCCGTTCATTCATTTCGCTCGAATCTGTTTATTAACGCAGCCGCTATCAGGACAAATTTAGTTAAAGGGGTGGCAGCACTATCAAAGAGGCGGAACGGGGCCCGGAAGGTTAAAACAACACGGCGAGAAAGCTCACAAGTTCAGTTTGCTTCTGCTGGAACGAGCCTTGCCCCTGTGGATAGGCTCAGTCCTTCAGTAGAAGCCCTCGCCCTCCAACAATAATACTTAATACAGAATAAAGGCTGAGCGCTCCAAGTAAAATCACTTCAGCTGAGTTCCATGGTTATTATTCATGCCTCGGTTCTCCATCCCCTCCGCTCCGGCTCCTGTGATGTTAATAAGGTAAGCATTTTGGAGCTGCGAAGAAGCCTACGAGGAGCTATGTCAACATTTTTCGCCTGCCTCCGCCTTTTTTTTATCGTCAGCTGAAGGTCGGCGCCCTCCGTGTGGGGGTGCCTGTCGCTCAGACAACCCGAAGGCTCGATCGCAGAATTGTGGCGTATCGATTTCACCTGTACAAAAAAAAAAAAAAAACCCAAAAGAACAGCCATAATTTTTGTATTCATGCTAAGAGCAATTTGAGAAGAATAAAACCTCGTTCTGTTACACAGGATACTCACAGAGACCTGAAACTCCCAACCTGCTTCCTTTTTGCCCCCCCTGTTTGCAGCATCTGGTGGTTACTCCTCGTGTCACATAAGTTCAGCACATTTGTTACACCTCGGTCCTTGTTATCGAGGACAAAAAGCGGAAGGAACCTGGTGCATCACGGTGAAACAGCGAGGTGCCCTGAGAGGGAGGCAGAAGGTGATCCTTTTCTGGCTCTTAAAGGTTGCTTTCACAAAGTGAACGTGGCTAGTTTGGCCTCGTTCACTGATTATTAACTGCGAAAAAACCCAAAAGTGAGCATCCAGAGATGGTCAGTTTAATTGACGGTCAGTACGACTACCAGCAAAAAGACAAACATGAGTGGTTAAAGGCCGACTAATGAAAAAAGGGAGGAAAACGGTTCTTCTGTGTATCATATGTTTAAACTTTGGAAATGATTATGATTCTAGGAGCCTGGCAGGACGTAGATTTAGATTTGGTGCACGGTCAGCTCATCTCGAGCTTTGGCTTTCCCGTCTTTATCCCGTCTCCTTTCTCGGAGAGCGGTTTCTTTTCCGGAAAGAGTCGGGACTCGTGAGCTGTGTCCACACCCAGGCTGAAGACTGACCCTCCATAGATGGAGCGGATCCCGATGCGCCGCAGACGTCTCAGATCGAAACGGCAGATTGTAAGATGAGACTCTGGCTATGTGGGCTTATCTCGCATGGGCCAGTGTTTGGCTTCTGGGTTTAGACAAAAGATTAGGTGTAATTCTCTGCAGGCTGAGTTAGCTAAACCCGTGAACATTGCGGCTGGCTGTTCGACTTACTTCTTGGATTTCCTGTGTCGGGCGAGTGAGCATGGGTTGATGAGTTTTCAAAATGCTTCAAAAAACTATATTAGCGTTGAAAGAGGTGTCCAGACAAACAAAAAAAAAAAGACGGAAATTTAAGAAGCTAAATTAAATTTACTGCTGACAAGAAACCTAAACTTTGCGCATTTGCGCAAAGCAGAGCCGGGACAAAAAAAACACAAACAGGAGAATCGGAAAAGGCAGAACGCGCAGACCAGATTCAGCTCTCCCAGTGTCCCCTAACGGGGTCCGAGTCCAAAGCTCAATTTGGCTCCTCGGCCGTGAGAAAGCGAGCAGAGACCCTGAGAATTTATCACCGCCACCCTCTGTAAAAACCCGGGCCTGTTGCTGAACTCCCCCTGCCCCCCCCCCCCCCCC